GATTTAGAGATCAAAACTTTAAATATTTCATTTCATTTTCTGATGGCTTACATGGTATCTGAAATACCATGTATAATTTAATATTTAAAATGTTCCACATACCCTTTAGGCTTGTGTCAGAACTCATTAATTTATCTTTTATTTTTCTTTAAAAAAACTAAAAACATTCATTTATTTTATGTATATGGGTGTTTTATCTGCATGTATATCTGCACAACAGAAGAGGGCACTTGATTCCATGGGACTACAGTTATAGATGGTTGTGAGGCAACACGTGGACACTGGGAATTTAACCCAGGATCTCTGAAGAGCAGCCAGTGCTCTTAACCACTGAGCCATCTCTCCAGACAGATTTTTCTATAATTTAAATGCTGTGGGATGTCTTTCTGTATGGTGGGAATATGTGTTGCTATAATTGGTTAATAAAGAAGCTCTTCTGGCCTACGGCGAGTCAGGTTATCACCAGGTGGGAAATCCAGGAGAGAGAAAGGAAGAGGAAGGGCAGAGTGAGGAGTCACCAGCCAAACACAGAGGAAGTAAGATGACAAGGCAGAACTGAGAAAGGGTACATCCCACAGCACTACTGGAGTTTATCTTCTTGGCAAAACTGGCCATTTGGGCAAGAGGCTGCTCTTGCCTGGACTGCTGACAATATGTTGTATAAACTGGACATGCAGGACCCATAGGAAGGTGACCACTGAACTTTGCAATGCAAAATGGTTCTTCAGTTTCCTGCTTTGCAGAGGAGACTGCCAAACATTCTACAAGATACAGGGAGAAGCGACTAAAAAACTCTAGACCTATAGGCTGAAGATGGATGACCCAATGTTGCAGAGGAACTTTGGGCAATTGTCCAGGCAGCCAGCTATCTCTGTCATTTTAGATTTTTGGAAGTTGCTTACAACGCACTTCTTGTTTACTTAGGTAATATTAAATCCTTCTGGGGTCTTTGATGTAGTTGAAAACTAGATAGTTATAATTTTCCTTGGTTATGATAAAAAATAAATTAGCTATGAAACTTTAGACTCACAAATATAGGATAGAATATTTTCTTTAATTTTGCCAAATATAAGTGGACTAGATAGTATAACTGTAATTCTTGCTTGATAATTGTTCTATTATATGTAATTTTACTATGTTAAAGTTAAAACCTTCCTTTTTGATTAGACAGAAAAGGGGAAGTGCTGTGGGATGTTGTTCTGTATACTGTGAGTATGTGTTGCTCTGATTGGTTGATAAAATGCTGATTGGCCAGTAGCCAGGCAGGAAGTATAGGTGGGATAAGCAGATGAGGAGAATTCTGGGAAGAGGAAGGACTGAGTCAGGAGTGGCCAGCCAGACACAGAGGAAGCAAGATGACAAAGCATAACTGAGAAAAGTTACTGAGCCACATGGCTAAACATAAATAAGAATTATGGGCTAATTTAAGTGTAAGAGCTAGTCAGTAATAAGCCTGAGTTAATGGCTGAGCAGTTATAATTAATATAAGCTTCTGAGTGATTATTCTATAAGTGGGCCATGGGACTGCGGGGGCTTGGCAGGACCAGAAAAAACTTTTGGCTACACTTGAAAGTAATAAATTATGTCTAGTATTGTCAAACTTGGTCCCCATCATGTTCATAAAGTCACTGACAACTCAGAAAATTCTTAGGCTGAATAAATATATTTTACATCATAATTTTGAAAAGTATATAGGGAAAGAGGATTGGCTATGAAAACAAATACAGTCTAAACATTGATTCTCAGAGATGTGGGATGCTGCTTGCCTGGAAGGATACAGTGATGGAATAAAGGGTCTATGTCTTGGTCCATCTTGTGTTATTACAGAATATCCAAGGCTGCACAGTATCTTAGAAGCAACAGAAGCTCATTCTCTTAACATTTTGGAGAACATCCAAGATCGAGGTGCCAGGATGTGGTGTTTGTCTTGCTGCAGGTCTTGCTGCATCCCCACACTCTTGGCAGAAAGCAAAGAGGGAACAGAGTAAAGTAGCAACATGAAGATATTTTAAGAGATTTAATTCCATCAGCAAGGAACGAAGGCCCAAAGTCTAACCACCTCTTAAATCCTGCATTTCTCATTACTGCCTGGCACATTGACAGCACCTAAACTGTTGAGTATCATCCAGTCTGTAGGACAGCGCAGGACAAGGTGAAGAAATTTACTTCTGTCTGATCTAGGATGCCCACTTTCTCCTACCCTAGAATATTGGCTCTCCTGGTTCTCAGGGAATCAGTCTTGGACCAGGATTTACAGCTTATGATTCTAGATTGCATAGGGTAGACTGTGGGACTTCCTCCTCTCAGCTAACTAACGTATTAGAGAAACTTTTTCATTCACATCTGTTTGGAGGCAGACAGTTTATAGAAATAGCAGAGCAGTTCTATGAACTCACTAGGAACCTGGCTCTCTGAAGTCATCTGTTCTACCATCACTAGAAAAACCTCTATCCAATTCCTCTACGTGACATATTTTTTATTAATAGAAAATTAGATATAATTTCGAAAGGTCTTTGTGGCCATTTATATTTGGGAAATTTTTTTTCTACTCTGTAGAATTGAAGCTAGGCAGCTAATAAAGACAATTATCTTATTAACTGCACTGAGAAAGTAACTGGCTCTTTATACTAGCATTTATAAATCTTAAAACCAAAGAGTGCAAAAAATTATCTATTTCTCATTTTTTTTGATAATTTTTAACACAAAGAACAAAACATTTCAGTTACCTTAGATGAACTGAGGAATTAAGGGTGAAGCACACCTGAGGAAGAAAGGCTTCATCTCCATTGTTTTCCTATCAATTTCTTATCTATCTATCTATCTATCTATCTATCTATCTATCTATCTATCTATCCTTATTGAAAATATTCTTCCCTCATACAGTACATCCCAACCACCAGTTTCCCTTCCTTCCACTGTTACTAACTCTGCCCCCACCTTCCCTCTCTCCTGGATCCACTCACTCTCCACTTCCTTTCAGAAAAGAGCAGGTCTCCAAGAGACAAACATGATAAAACAAGATACAGTAAGTAAAGGCAAAAACTCTTATGTTGAGGCTGGACAAAGCAACCCAATAGTAGGAGGAAAAGAGTCTCAAGAGCAGGCATGTTTTTATGGGATTCCCATCATTTTCAATAAAATTTGCTCTCTCCTTATGTCACCTCTTTAGAGAAAAAAAATTTTTGAGATAGGGTCTTAACATAGCTCAAATTGACCTCGAATATAGTAAAGAATGGCTTTGAACTAATGATCTTCCTGCCTCACTTCTTTGGTGCTAGGGTTGCAGACATATACTATCACACCTGAGGATAGAATCCAGGGCTTTGTGCATGCCAGGCAAGAAATCTATCAACTGAGTTACATCCCCAACCTCTTAAATTTTTTTAAAATATATTTATTTAGTGGGGGTACACACTGTAGTGCACACTTGGAGGTCAGAACCAAGGCTACATCATTTCTATTCATTAGGAAAGAAGCAAGATTGGGAATGTTGGGTCAGTGAAAGCTTAAAATTTACAGCCTCTCTCATTCCTGACCTTTTAGAGATGTGTGGGGGTCACTTATCTGAGACCATAGAGGTACAACTTCAGCATCCAGCTATTTTTTTTTCCTGTGGCACTGAACACTGAGCACACCTCTTATTTTAAGTAGAGCTCATTTGTTCTCTTCAGGACTTAAAGTTTAATAAAAAGCCCAAATTGAAGACGGTGGTTGCCTCTTTAAGAAAGCCATCCTCGGTTAGCAAAGAGCAGGCTTAGACTAGGTTGTGGCTTACTTTCCTTGGTGGTTATTTATGATTCTTCTGTTATGCTTATTCTAAAGTCTACTATCGTTTGAGCAAATTTACTTTCAACTCTCCACTGAGTTCACCAAAGACAAATAATCCTCCTGCAACTGGCAGGGATGAAGATTAAGCCACCCAATATGCAATTAAGCATATCCCAAGGTTCAGCTGCTGTGCTACAGTTTACATTCATTACAGCCATTTAGCAAGGTTCTGCTGCTTATGCCCTGCTCTGGAGGGGGATTTGTGTCTTTCATTAGCATGCTGGTGCCAGCAAGGATGCTGGGGCATCTTCCACTATCAGGTTGAATCACAGCATTATGAGATTATGGCTGCAAATTTCACCCTTCTGCCACTAGTGGAGCCCTCTAGGAATAGGCCTTTCAAACAGCTGCACCCATTTTTGAATGAAAAGCTGGAGTGGTTGCTGGTAAGGAGCATAAACAACCAGAGTGAGTTAGGATGGTTGTACAATTTGAAATTAGGGATTCTGTTTTGAATCAGGATTCAAAATGGGTGCAAATAAGTATACTTTAAAATCACCAATTCAACTTTCTGCCTGCCGCTGATGCAATGAGGGAGGAAGCATTGCTGAAAGCTCTCATCTTCCTGCCATCATATCTAAGTCAGTCTCCCAAGGAATCAGAACAGCAGCAGAAGCTCTTCATCAGAAAGTCAAGCTTCAAAACAACCAGTGAATCTCTGAGAAGTCATTGGAGCAATGGAAAACTCACCAACTGTGTGGTAATAAGAGATCCAAAATACACTCCAGAGGATTTGGACTTGCACCCACACCACTGTGGAGATAGATGCATCTATGGATGCAAAGCTACACAAGGTACATGGAAGAGTTGTAGAACCAAAGAAAGCTGTGTCAAAAAAAAGAGTCTTAAAGACCAGGTGCCCAATTAACTGTGAAAAATATCATTGGTGGTTGTAGCTAGAGTTTTCCAGCCTGGCCCACAGTCAGAACAAATCTTTGTCACCCGCCAGTCCCACAGCCGCTCAGACCCACCAAGTAAAAACAGAGACTTATATTGTTTACAAACTGTATGGCCATGGCAGGCTTCTTGCTAACTGTTCTTATAGCTTAAATTAATCCATTTTCATAAATCTATACCTTGCCACGTGGCTGGTGGCTTACCTGCGTCTTCACATGCTGCTGGTCGTGGCGGCAGCTAGCAGTCTCTCCGCCTCAGCCTTCTGCTTCCCAGAATTCTCCTCTCTCCTTGTCCCACCTACTTCCTGCCTGGCCACTGGCCAATCAGTGTTTTATTTATTGACCAATCAGAGCAATTTGACATACATAGCAGTTGGTATTGAAGAAGACACTGAAGAACATCACTTCTGACATTATTTTGAACAGTATGGCAAAACTGAAGTGACTGAAATCATGACTGACAGAAGACAGTGGGAAAAAAGAGGGACTTTACCTTTGTCACTTTTGATGAACCATCACCCTGTGGATAATATTGTCATCCAGAAACACAATATTATGAATGGTTATAGCTGTGAGGTAAGAAAGGGCCTGTCAAGCACAAAATGGCTGGTGTGTCATCCAGCCAAAGAGGTTAGGTTAAAGTGATTCCAGAAACTTGGATAGTGGTCATGTAAGTGGTTTTGGTAGCAGTGAAAATTTTGGTTACAGAGGACGCTTCAGTGGTCCTGGTGCCTCTGGTGGCTGCTGTTGTGGTGCAGTATTTTGTGGCAGTGGAGATGGCTATCATGGATGGTAATGATGGAAGCAATTTTGGAGATGTTAGAAGATATGGTGATTTTGGCAATTACAACAACCAGTCTTCAAATTTTGGAGCAATGAAGGGGAGAAACTTTGGAGGCAAAAGTTCTACCTCTTATGGTAGTGGAGGCCAATCCTTTAAGTCACAAAACCAAGGTGGTTCTGGTAGTTCCAGCAGTAGTAGCTGAAAGGTTCTAATTCTTGCCAGGAATGGGGAGCCTAGCATAAAGAAAGCCAGAGAGTGACAGGGAATAGAGGTCACAACAGATTTGTGAATTCATCAAACAGAGTGATGGCAGTGCCTCGAGTCTATAAAGAAGATATGTTTAGACAGTTCTTATGATATGGGCGAAATACCCTTTAGAGCCAAATTTGCAACTAACTGAATAACTGGTTATTTTAGTTTATGTTCTGTAGAAAGTGTTAAGTATCTACAAATAATGGGTTTTACTGTAGACTTTTTTCACCCATACTGTTGACTGCTAAATATAGTATCCTGATCATGATGCTGAATAAATCTCTTTATTTTTTAAATGTGCTATGTAAAGTTAGTCTACTTTGAAGCCAACTTGGTGAACTTTTCCATCAGTCTGAAGTTAAAATTCCTTCAGGGTGATGCCATGTTCCATTTGAAACTTATTTATGACTGTTTGGATTAAGAAGTTATTATCTTGAGAAACCTTAGTGTACTTAAATTGCTATGTTACTGTTGTGACCTTAATGAGTTTCACCATTTAAATCGTCACCCGAACAAAGTCACAGAATTATTTGGTTAGAAAAATTGTTGCTGGCATATCCTATGCAATATCAAAATTGAATGATGGTAACAGACAAAATAATAGAAAGGAATATAGCTTGTGTATCATCCATTGTCATGTGTCAAGGGCAAAAGACACAAAACAGAAAGGGATGAAGAATGTCATACAATTTACCTGATGAGACAGAGTCTTGAGAATGTTTTTGGTAATGATGAAGAAAGGAAACGAGTCAATAAACAATCAGATCACTCATTTAAAGATCTACTAATTAAAACAGGTTGCGGCAATACACACTTACAGTCCTACCATGCATCAGAGAGACTAGGGTAGGCCTGAGAGTTCCAGGAAAGCCTGGGCTACACAGTGAGACTCTCTCAAAAATCCAAAAATAAAAATAAAATGTAAAAACTTAAAATTTGGAATCAGAGAGATGTCTCAGCAGTTAGGCACTTGTTCTTGCACAGGACTTGGGTTTGATTTCCAGCACTTACAGTACCTCACAACTATCCATTACTCTAGTTTCAGGAGTGACCCCTCCTCTTCTGCCCTCCATGGGTACCAGGTACACATGTGCTGCACATACATACATATAGGCAAAACACTCATACATATAAAATAAAATAAATCTAAAAAATTGAAAACAAAAATGAAATACCCTTAAGATATATTAATAGACTGAGGAGACTGAGATTTTGCAGCTGGAACTCTAATTCCATCTAGACCACTGGTTCTCAGCTTCTTCAACAGATGCATGGACACACATGATTTTACAAGCATTCTGTGGAGCTAGAAGTTGGGTCTGGAATCTCTCTGAAATCCCCATGTGTTGAAGTCTTGGTCCCCAGTAGGCACTGTGAGGAAGAGGTGGAATTTGTAATAGGTGAGGTCTCTGGAAGGCTGTCATGTCATTGAGAGCACTGCCTCAATATAGGATTTGGGTCCTTCCCCTTCTTCTCCTTTGCTTCCTAACCAGGAGTTGAGTGGTTTCACTCCACTTCTCATTCTCAGCATGGGTATGTTGTCTCACCACAGGCTCCAAAGCTATGGAGCCAACCAATCACAGATTGGAAACTCCAAACTGTAAGCAAAAGCAAAGCAGTTCTAAGTTGATGATCTCAGGTGTCTTACAGTAACACACACACACACACACACACACACACACACACACACACACCAAAAAAACAAAAACAAAAAACAACTCTCTCTCTCACACACACACACACACACACATATAGACTCTCAGGTTAAAATTACATTCTAGGAAAATCTTTTCATAGATAGGAAAACTGAGTTACACTATGATTTCTTTATGATCCAAGAGATCTTTCAGCTGGTATGGAGATTATGTATTTAGAGGAATTTAGTATTGATTCAAGATGAATATAAACCAGGGCTGGAGAGATGACTTAAGAGTGATAAGTTTTAGGCCTCCTGAAGGTCTCTCTACCTTTGCAACAAACTGAATCAGACCAAATCAGGAAAAGCACAGGTTTAATGAGTGAAGCATTTCAGGGCGATTCCCCAGCCCTGCAGAGAGGAGACAGGGATGCAAGACCAGAAGAACCACAAGAACCCCAAGTCTGTTTTCTGGGATACTGCTTATATATGCCCTGAGCCTCTCTGGGGAAGAAGCTGTGTTTGGCGGGCTTTGAAGGGGCAGGTTTGGGGAGGATCTGGGGAAGGGAGCCAAGGTGGATCTTTCACCACACTCCTTCCAAACGTTCCAGACTCTTTGGATATAGGGATGCCAGGGTGCCAGGGGTTGAGGTGCAGCTCCCACCCAAACAAAAAACAATGTCAAGTTCCTAGAGCCCATGTCATGAAGTTCATAACTGTCTGAATCTCCAGCTCTTGGGGCTTCAACACCCCCTTCTGGCCTCAGTAGGCACCTGCACACACACAGTATATTCTCTCTCTCTCTCTCTCTCTCTCTCTCTCTCTCTCTCTCTCTCTCTCTCTCTCCCTCTCTCTCTCTCTCACACACACACATACACACAATTAAAAATAAAACAAATATTAACAAAATTAAAAAAGATGACCATTGTGGTGGTATTGTGTTCCCCAAAATATTGCACATGCTAATAAACTTATCTGGGGTCAGAGACAGAACAGCCACAATATTAAACATAGAGGTTAGGCAGTGGTAGCACATGCCTTTAATCCTAGCATTTCAGAGGCAGAGATCCCTCTGGATCTCTGTGAGTTCAAGGCCACATTGGAAACAGCCAGGCAGGTGACTCACACCTTTAATCCCAGGGAGTGATGGCAGAAAGCAGAAAGATATATAAGGCGTGAGGACCAGAAACTAGAAGCATTTGGCTAGTTAAGTTTTTAGGCTTTGAGCAGCACAGTTCAGCTGAGATTCATTTGGATGAGGACTCAGAAGCTTCCAGTCTGAGGAAACAGGATCAGCTGAGGAATTGGCAAGGTGAGGTTAGCTGTGGCTTGTTCTGCTTCTCTGATCTTCCAGCATTCACTCCAATACCTGGCTTCAGGTTTGTTTTTATTAATAAGACCTTCTAAGATTCCTGCTACAGACCATAAACCAGACAACAAGCCTTGCATGCCTACAATCCCAGTAGGTGTGATGATGAGGCAGGAAGACCAGAAGTCCAAGGCAGGCCTAGGCTATGAAGCAAATTTGATACCAGCCAAGGCTACATGGGACCCTAACTTACAAACAAAATAACAATAATGAATTAAATTAAACAGACTAGAACAGTACACTCTTTAAGAAACCCAGCAGCACTCCTTCACACAGGGTAGTCTCTTCTCCTTACTAGAATCTTCAAGGTTGTTAAGGACTGGACCCCACCCACCTTCACAATTGCTGTCATGTCACGTTTCTCTTGCATCACCATCCAGCCAGGCAAACTTCTGTGCTGTTACCTGTACTTGCCAGGTTTGCAGCCCATGCAGTTGCTATTCCCTAGCCCTCACCTTTCCCTGAAAGTTCACACTGTTCTTGTGTTTCCTTAATTTATGATTTCAGACAAATATTCCTTGAACACGGAATTTACTATGCCATTACCATCAATCTTCTTGTGTTTATAAATGCAGTCATTTGTTATCCTCCATATGGTTAATAAAACTATCTGAGAGTGGGAACTTTGTTTTGCTCCTCAGCATATTCTTAGTACCTACTATCAAGCCCAAAATACAAAGTACAGAAGTAGGCATCAAGTAAGTTGACTAATATACAATAAAATACATATTCACAAAGGAACCCAGGAAAGAAAATGTGTTACAGTGTTGGGTTGGGGATGTTAGCTCAGTGGTAGAACTTTTGCCTACCATGCACAAGGCCATGGGTTCATGCATGACAATAACAACAACAAAAACTTTGAAATATAACAGAATGCACTTCACAACTAAATTGTGAGACAGTTAGTTCTTACTTATTCTTATGGGCAAAGGGCAGTTTTCCCACTAGTTTTCTGGATGTCTTTCACTTGGCAACTGTAATGTTTAATCCAAGTAAATAATGAAAGTTCATCAAATTAAACTATACCCAGACCTGGGAATTTTGTTTTTACTAATTTAGTAACAGATCTGCTAGTGTGGGCGGGAATGCTGTCTGGAAGTAACCATTGGAAGAACTTGTAATTGCTGGACCTATGGCTGAGTTGATTCCTTTGTAGGTGACACCATAAAGCTGTTTTTTGGTTTTGTTTTGCTTTTGTTTTTGTTTGTTTGTTTGTTTTGGTGTGTGGCTTTCCTCTGCATTACCAGTCTTGGGAGTGTCTTACCAAACATTGCCTGGAGATGGTACATTGACTGTGAAGAGATTATAAGCTGTCCTTCACCATGATTAATGAAGTTCTGATTTCAAAGGTTAACAAAGATTCACTTTGGATTTATGTGCTGTTTTCCCAAGTCATTCTGAACTGACAGCTAAGTACGCAGCTTCTTTGTTGGCACCTTTTATGGGTAGGTGCAGCTGGATGAAACTCAGCCACAAAGGAGATCCCGGTGTTATCATTAATGGAGACTCTGTGTAACAGATGTTGTCTACACATTAGGCAGGCTGCTTAATTTGTCTCTTGCAAACACGAAGCCTCTTGAAATTATAATGTACTACACACACTGTCTGAAGATTTCCATTCTTTTGTAACACAATCCTTCAGGAAGAGCAGCATGTATAATTCAAAGAACAAAAGAGGAACTCAAATGAAGAAATGCTATGTTCTTAACATCTGTGTTCATCATGATTACAATGAAGAAAATGAGGGAAAGACATTATGGGGAACACATGTGATAAAAACAGAAGTCCGAATGACTAGGTGCTGAGCAGGTGACGAGATGGGTTCTGCCTCCCGTGGTCCCAAATGCGGCTCCATTAACTTACAGCTTGGGATAAATAGAACAGGTGACAAAGAGTTAGAAATTTCGTGTATAATCTTAGGCAAAAGATTTCATTCCTCCCAACATCTGATTATGTCTGTCTTATTTTTAGGCAAAGAGCTAGTCATTTGCTAAGTACAGTGAGCTCCAGTTTTCCACAAAACCCTCTCCCACAGTAATGGTACCATATACAACATTTTTCTCTTTGGTTTTTTAAATAAAAATACATGTAAGTTCCATATGTATTTTTGGAATAGCTAAGGATATTATATGTATCATAAAATTCATCACTTCCATGTTTCCCTCACTAAATAAAAAGCAACCTTCATAAAACCGTAAAAAGGTTGTAGGCAGGTGTGTTGGTACATACCTGTAATCATACCACTTGAAATGCTGAAGCAGGGGGATCAAGAACTCTAAGTCAGACTGATCTATATAGTGGGAGCCTGCAAAGAATAAAGTTGTATATGAAGAAATTACACAGTTTGAAAACTTAATCAAAAGCTTAAAAATATTTAAGCATCATGACCCCAAACTTCACCTTTGAAAATATATTCCTAATAGTTTAAAATAATAAAAAACTAGGTCACAAAATTAAATTTTAACGGCATAAGAGGAATCAATGACACATTCTTATGTTATATCACTTGAAATAAATTATTACCTAATAAAAGACTCTCTCGCCATTAAGACTATGGATATAAGACCACATAATAACATGACATTTATATTTCATTTTAAATGGGAATAGTGAAAAATTTTATATAAGTACAATGATACATAACTTTGAAAATAAGAATACAAAAAAATTATAAGACAACATACAATAAAGTTAAATATTTTGTCTAAAAAGGTGGCTATTGAATGGAAGCATGATATACCAGAAGAGTAATTATCTTCTGCAGTGAGCATCACAGTATTATTTTGGAAGCAGTTCCCCTGCCTACCAAATTATTTGACTATAACCTCATATTTCCTGGAAATCTTGTTCTAGCCTCATTTTCAGATTATTAACTAGACTACTTGTGTAAGTAAAAGGTAAATGTCAGTACCAGTCTCACTTCAACACTGAAAACAGCATTCTTGGTTTTTGATTTAGGAGGCCAAAGTATAGACGTCTTCCATCCTATTCATAAGGAACCCCCAGATCTTCAGAACAGGTGGTAAAGGACAGAAAGGCAATGGACTGTCCTACAATATTTTATATAAATTAAATACCCACCACAATGGTTGTAATGTATGGAAACAACTACAGTGGGTAAGAAAAAAAGGGGTAACCTATGTTTCTCAGAAAGTACAGGGTTTATATACCAAAGAAACTGAATTCCTATCTACATCATGTATAACCACAACATAAAGATGCTTCAGACTTTCAAAAAGAGGAGGAAAAGGAGGGCAAGGTGTCTCTCTGAGCCTGTAGCTCAACAATTCAAATAGTCTAGGTAGCTGCTTGCCCTAAATGTCCCATCTTCATCTCCCAAACATTGGGATTACAGGTGGGTCAGCACCTTTAGTTTTTATGTAGGTTGCTGGGGATCCAAACTTCAGTCCTTAAGTTTGCTCAGCAAGCCACTTGATCCTCTGAGACCGATCCTTCTCTTTCTTTCAATTTTCCAGGTAGTCTATATCCACAATAGATCCTATCCTTGGCCAGATTGCTAGGAATTCTTACAGCAGAGATATTCAGAAATTTTGTAGGAGTGGCCATTGGTAGGAATTGAGGATACATGTCTACATTGAGGCCTGGAAAAAGAAGGTAGCAACCAATACTAGGAGATATGAGTGAACAAGATTTTAGAGGTCAGCAAATAGATCTATTTGAGTAAAACTATTATTAATGCTACCAACAAGCAGACCACTTTAAAAATAGTTTAATACAAAAAAAATTGTCAGGAATTCAAAAGAACAGACAATGAATGTTCATATTGCTCACCACTCAGTTTACATATTTACCCAAATGTTGCCACATTTGTTTCATCTATTGTTTTCCTTTTTTTTCCTTGCTAAAATGTTTTAAAGCAAATTCTGAGTGTGTGGTTTCTCCCTGTGGATATTTTCTTACATAACTGTAATGTCCTGGTCACATTGTTGAATAAATCATTGTTTTGCATCAAGTAAGGGCAGAGTGGAGCTGAAGGCATGACATAGAAGGAAGCATGTTTCTGGAGCCATGCTGTGTAGGGGTCTACACGAGACAGAAACCTTTTAAGGTCTGCCCTCTAAGGCAACTCTCTTGCCCCAACCCCAGACAAGCCTGATTATTCAATACTCATTCTATAGCCATGCTGCCCCTATTGCTCCCAATTTTTTCTTTTTAAAAATTGTCTTGTTCAAATCTGGAGTTTAAAGCCATCATTTTGAAATTACTGAGAATAAGTAACTATTGGATGCTAAATGAGTTATCTATATCACTCCATCCCAGGCTCAAGGAACATAGTGGAAAAAAAGGGCAGAACTGTGAGAGAAAGAAAGAGGATGGAGGACAGTTATATGAAACACTGAATATGGAATGACTATCACAATCTCAAACACAGCAGCTATGACTACACATATGTGCATGTGCACATATACATACACACACACAAACATGACATAGGGTTAGTAGGGAACTTGTTGGAAAAAAGGGAATCAGGAAGAGCAGAAGAGGAAACAGAGGGTAGGTAATGAGGAATGAGCACAATTGCAATGCATTCTGTACATGTTTATAATTGTGAAAAATGAAATTTAAAAAGCCACCACTTGCTTTGGGATGCCATATATCTGACTTTGCTTCAGGGCACATTTTACTCCTTTTTTCTTATGCCTATTGATTTGTCGTAGATATTAGGTCACACTCTGTATTTGCTTCTGACATTTATAAAGCTTGTTTCTCCATTTCCTGGATTTTCTATAGCTGATGTATGTGATAATGTGGTGATACTGTGTTCCCCAAAATATTGTACACCCTAATAAACTTATCTGGGGTCAGAGAACAGAACAGCCACTAGATAGAGACGCCAAAAAATGGTGGCACACATGCCTTTAATCCTATCACTTAGGAGGCAGAGATCCATCCGGAACTCTGTGAGTTTAAAGCCACACTGGAAACAGCCAGGCATGGTGACTCATGCCTTTAATCCCAGGAAGTGAGCCTTTAATCCCAGGAAGTGATGGCAGAAAGCAGAAAGTATATAAGGCGTGAGGACCAGGAACTAGAGCTGGTTAAGCTTTCAGGCTTTAGAGAAGCAGTTCAGCTGAGACCCATTTGGATGAGGACTCAAAGGCTTCCAGTCTGAGGAAACAGGATTAGCTGAGGAACTGGCGAGGTGAGGTGGCTGTGGCTTGTTCTGTCTCTCTGATCTTTCAGTATTCACCCCAAAACCTGGCCCCAGGTTTGTTTGTATTAATAAGACTCTTTAAGATTCATGCTACATGATGATATAAAGAATTCAATTTTCCACCTATAAAAGTATTTACTTCATCTATTTTTTAAATTACTGATAAATTTACCAATAAGATTATCTTATTGTTGTCTGTATCTATAGTTGTTTAACCCTTTGTGGTTTATAACAGGGCTTTGTTTTCTTGACCACAACTCTAGTTTATCATTTCAAAGAACTGGCTTTGAATTTTACTGAAATTCATTTATGTTTTATTTATTATATTTTAAATATATCATATTTATTATATTTTTATTCATTTATTTTTTTAATTATTCTCATTATTTCTTTCCTCTTGCTTTGATACTGGCACTCTACAGAATCAGCAGGAGATCTGCTTGACTGCCATCAGCTCTGAACCCAAGTAGTACTGCCCAGAACTGACCTAAAAGCCTCCTTCCTAAGGACTAGCTTTTATGGTACCAGAAGGCACCATGCAAGCTCCCAAAAGAGAGAAGCAACCAACAGTCCTATTCAGCGACTCATGATAACCATAAGAATGAAGTAGCAGCACACATACCTTGGTGGTAAACAATAGCTTTCTAGTTGGACTTAAGACAGTAAGAGGGAAATAATGCCTGGTACTAGAAACCTAGCCTATTACCTGGGACTAGTGAATTCATGGATTTTGAAGGAGAACCTGCAATCATCACTTTACTAAGCCAGCACAATTCCTAACAACATTCTAGATATTTATCCTTATGCCCACAGATAAGTGAAGTCCTTACCCCTCATCAAGGAAACTTATCTTAGTTTGGGTTTTTATTGTTGTGAAGTATTGAGGGATTTATTAAGGCAACTCCATGTAGTTAAAAGGAAGGTTTATTGGGGGCGGGGAGGGGGGTAACTTACAACAAGTAAAGGGATAGGTTACAGGGTCCAGGAAAGGTGAAGTGCAGTCCAGCGGTGTTCTCAGAAGAACTCTGCTCAGTCTGCTATCCAACATCCAGGATTACCAGGAACCAAGAGAGTGGCACATCCAGATCCTGGGTCTTAAGGGTCCTGTCTCAGTCCCGCCTCTGGGGCAGGCCGTAGGTAGGCATGACAGTTACCGAAAGCCTCAATGGGGGTAGTACTTCCAGGTCAAAGCTAGAACAGCTACCCACTACAGTGAAGAGACACCATTACTATGGAAACTCTTATAAATTAAGGAGCTTGCTTACATTTTCAGAGGGTCAGTCCCTTATCATCATGGCAGGGAGTATGGCAACATGCAGGCAGACATGATGCTGGAGCTGGGAGTCCTACATCTTGACTCAGAGGCAACAGGAAGTTGACTGACAGTCAAACTGGGGGAAGCTTGAGCAAAAGAAACCTCAAAGCCCACCCCCACAGTGACACACTTCCTCCAACAGACCATACCTCCTAGTAGTGTCACAAGTGGCCCACAGAGGCTATCTAGTGAGGTCAGGGTCAGAGAATCTGAGCTTGCTTTACCCAGCAGGGCTGCATAAGGAGATGATTTGTCCATGGGTGTGTTTACCAGGTGTTTGGAAGGGTCTACACCTGGCTGTATGGTGTGCTTTGATCTTGCAAGGGGGAGGGAGGTCTTTTGCCTCTCCTTTTGGCATATTATAAAAAGCCCTTTTGAATAAAGTTCTGGGTGACTGGGTATTGATCCATGGCCCTCCCGAAGTTATCCTGTGTCTCTGTCTTTCTTATCATCTCTTTCTATCTTTCTACCTAATATTTTGTAACTCCTCTCTCCTTCACCTAAGAACTGTTCAATAGGTGGGGGCAGGCTGGAGCTGGACTCCCACAGACTTCCACAGCCACTTCTTTTGGGGATATTTTTCTTTCAAACAACCACACTTCTCTTTCCAATAGATGGAGGAGACCATTATAGAAAACCACAACAAATCAAAATGCAAAGTTGTTGGGCCCAGTTCCAATGGATACATCTACAAAACAACTCTTGCACTTAAGGCTCAGAAAACATTGTAGAAAAGGGGATGAAAAGATTGTAAAAGCCAGAATATCAGGGAGTTTGCTGTGAGATTGTTTCCTAATAATATCAGAAGCTACAT